CCAGAGCCGCGTCACCCACATTGAAAGGCGCTGGTCTACAATCCAAGCTTTTGCTCCTTTTTGCTCGCATGCACTTCCTTCTTTGCAGTTCCGTTTTATCACTGTAATGTAATGCTTTGTTTTGTGGTCGATGTATCACAACTTCGCTTACCTTAGCATGCTGGACCTTTGTTGTTCTAGTTCTTGTCTTCAAGAGAAAGCAATGATGTGATTTCGCACAAAATTACAAGCCTTATGGAAATGCGGCAAAATATTAAACAGATGGCTTTGAAGTCTTGGTAGTTGCATTTTTATATCTTCATAGTATGCAGAAAATTGAGTTTCATTAAAGAAGATTGTTTTTTAAGGAGCTTTTCCAAATGCATTATGCATGACACGGCTTCTATGACGATCTGAAATGTACACGGGCGACTTTACGAAGGCATTCCAACTACTTTAGGGCACTTTTTTCTACGTCACTACTGATACTGGTTTGGGATGCTTTAGTGTTTATCAACTACTATGATTAGCCTGTGACGTCAATCTCTCGCAACAGTACTCTGTCTATTCCATCGGTATCATTCGCACTTCTCAGTTCCAAAAGGACTGCCTTTTTTCAAAAGTTAAGTTTCAAAATGAGTATTTTGTAGTCGTACAAAAGGCTGTGCCGAAAATTGGGCTCCGCGATTGCAAATAAATGGAATTTGGAAGTCGGTTGATGTTAACACGGCTGTTCCTGTTGCCTCCGCTCAGGCAAGGTGGCCAACCAATGGTCAGTTCGTCGCTTTTGAATGCCTTTTAGGTGCCTTACGCATGATGTTCGCAGCAAATGGCATACCTCTTCCCAGTTGCTCAGTCCTTAACTTCAGGCGACCAGAGAGTGAACATTTTGATGCTGGAGCGAGTCTGAAGGACATGGATTTTTTCTTCGGTCCATAGTTTTTTTTGACGGATAAAGTGGTTGGTGTTAGATGTTCACTTTAACTTGGTACTTATTCTGCGTAAATGGTGATCTGCCCCCTTTTGATTCAAATTAGTTGAGGAGTCATTTGTCACCTTTAGACTTACGTGCTGCCCAACAAATCAAGTATGGCGCAATGCATCAGTCGTAGAGGTAGAACGTACGGGCCTCACTAAAGTGGAAACGAGGCTATTGTTGGCAGAAGAGTTCACAGAATTATTGCATTTGGAGTGCAAAGTTAGTGAAAATCAGCACAAATCAGGACGTTTTATTTTGATTGTGCAAGCACCCATCCCAATTTCGCAGAACATTTCTGATTGACATTTGCTCCCAAGCCGGCATAGCATGGAAGACACAGTGAGCTCCGCCTCAACCAAAGCGAAATTGTGGTAATTTATAGGGAGTCCCAGTCCATAGTAGACATCGAGAAGCACATTTTCTATGACCATCAGTGACCACGAAACATCAAGCACTTATAAATCCTCTAAACAACATTCTAAATTGCTCAAAATAGTCGTAGCAGTAATGGTAACCTATCAAGTCTACTGCACAAATGCTAATACAAATAAAAATAATTTGAACATTCCATGTGGAATGTCGAAGTCATTTTGCATTTCCAACAGGGAGGATGAATGGGGCTGCGAATGCCATTTGCGCCTGCTATGGCTTGCTGAAATTTCTTAGGCGCAGCGCCAATTGACATCACTTCACTAAGACCTTTGCATGAAACGAAAAATGCAGATAAAATTCACATTTTTAAACTGGTTGAAGGAACACATTTAAAATTGCTACCACTTTAGGCATGTGTACTATGGGAATAGAAACGGCGGGTTCTTGGATGTCTCAGAGCCCGTAAATAGAGAGCGGCTTTAATTTCCTCATTGTAGAATATTTTGGCAATTTTATCTGGTCGAAAATATTGAATGGCGGTGCACCATTAAACTGCACTAGCATTGTGCGAATGAAATCGCTGCCAGCCCTTAGCGGGAAAAACTGTCAATTGTACGTAAAATATTATTCGATTGACAACTTCGGATGCAATAATACTTTGAGGCTTTCAAATCCGTCTTCGTCGGTAGCCACGTCGCGAACGACTAACAACCTCTGCCAGTGGATCGAATGTGCATATCCGAAGCTAGGACGTCCCGCCCCAAGACGGTTAGCAGACTCCACCCCACAAGCTCAACCACCCTTGCAAAAGCGATGGTAACAAAGGACCATCACACCTAAATTGATTTTAAACAATTGTCAGCACTTCTTTCCTGAAACGTTAAAAATACCTCTATTTTATACCTGTTCCAAAAATTACTGATATAAATTATCTCTATGTAAAGTTAATAAAATATGACAATCATATTTTATTTCGCAATTAGCAAGAAGAGGTTCGCAACCTAGCTGGTTTTACAATGGGGAATTTGCTTGTTTAAGACCATTAGCACGAGAAAATTGCACAACCCGGCACTGCTTCTACCCATCGTTTTAAAAAGCAATTTTAGGTGTGGATTTATAGAGGAGTTAATTTTATCAAACAACTATTCCCACTAAAGAAGCTGATCAACAGAGAAGCAGCCTTTAATTACGTCGTCCAACATGTGCCAGTTATAGCGATATGAAACTCAGGGAGTGAGAAATATTATATTCAAGCGGAGGGCTTATCAAGTGGGAATGAAGCTAGGCCATTCCATAACCAGACAAGTTAGCAGTAAAGATCGTAATTACCATCAGAATGATGGATCCTTTAAGCAAATTCATCAGCCTGTCTTAATACATTGCCTGTACCAATCTGCAAATTACTGGTTTTACTTTCCGCTCTTTGGGTCGGTCGATGCTCCTTGTAAAGCCTCGCAATGAAGAGTTTGAATGTTTCATTGAGAGTCGAGGTCCAATTTTGCAAAGATAAAAGGAACAACCAAAGGTCCAACAGCTCCCTCCATACAAATGTAGGACTGCATAGCTTAAAAGCAACGTGGGCTCCTAAGGAGCCATCACGAAGGAACAGCATTGTTAGCTTCTCAAGAATCCCACTAACATCCCTAAGACGCCAGTAAATTCATTTTTTGGTTCCCCTTATAATATCACTCGCAAGGCTAAACCGACATTTTATTGCACTTCTTGCAGTTGATAATCTCTCTATCATAAAGATGTCTTTAGACCCCATTGGTATCGTTAAACTAACGTTGAGCAGAAAAAGCATGTGTGTTTCCAAAACCCCAAACGATGGTTCAACAACATGCTTAACATACTGTTGCAGCATACCCTCCGTCAAGAATCCCAAACCGAGGATTGATTGGTAAGTTAATACTTAATGGCTCTGAAGTGATAGTACTTTTAATGATTTATTTGCTATTTTTTTAGGATCTTTTCCTGATTAAAGACCTTTTACTGTACCTTACTCAATTGATATTTGCAGAAGTGTGAAACCACCATCCCCTTACTCATTAACTGGAACCTGAGTCAAGGCAAAACAAAGCATCCCTGGCGATGGGAGTTTTTGCAAATGACTAGTAAGACCGGAGGATTTTGACAAGTAATTGTGAGGAGAATCAAAACCTTAGTGGAACTGATGTTTTGAAATGAAACTTCTATGTATTTGAAATTGTAAGTTGATGGCGTGTGAGTTCTTGGCAATCTGTGAAGTAATGACACTTAATTAAGGCTTTCTAAAAAGCATTAATCCCTTCGCCGTTGCAGGAATGCAAGATTGACAAACCCGTTTCATGTACTCCAAAAATCCCACCACCTTTGTGCCTAATTAGGTTTATACTCAAACGCATCTTCGGGTAGGGAAAGAGACGTTCTGATCTAAACACTGGTAAAATGCAACCTCGCTTTCGTGTGACATTTATTCACATAAAGACCCCTAGCCAAAAAGAATGTGCCAATTCCACTCTGTGTATGCAGAATTCATAAAAAACTCCCGTAATTCGATGTGGGCCCCCATCGAAGGCACACAGATAAGCTGAGCCCCCATTGGTTCATGTACACACGGAGTTCTGAAAAATAATTGGCTGGAGCTTTGAACCACGAATCAAGTTGCTGTGTTATCTGATGCGTTAACAGCAAAGGCTTCATTAGGAAGTCAAGTGGTATCGTAGCTATGTTGCATTTGGCTGTCTGATTGGGGTCTATCGAAGAATAGCCGCAGTCAGTTATGGGTGGTTCGTTCGATAAATTCAAGGGAGAGAGGCACTTCATTAAAAAAGCCAACGAGACAACAATGACTTTTACTTGTAGAACGTTGCTGAACGAGAGTTATTTTGCATGAATGAATTTTACGAGAGCTGCTGCAGGTTAAATGATGCACTCTGAAGTAGAGTTCAGTAATACAATATTTGAGGCAAGCGTAACAAGCTTGCGGGGGTTGGTTCCAAGTCCGAACTAATCAGTACTTCCGTGACATGACTGCATTTCGGTTCGCTGTGTACATCACAGCTATTCCTCAGTTTTGCAGAAAGTTTGCAGTCCCAAAACCCATAAAATTTACCGAATCAAACCAATGCTGCGCTCTCCCTTCCTGCAAATCACGCGCCATACTGCAGTTGCTGCATAGAAATCCGCTTACGTCATGCTTAGTCCTGGGGTAGAATTGGGAAAGATAGACTTCAGCTGCCACATTCAGAAACACCTCTAGGTAGGCAATATCGTCACCAAGACCATACGTACTTCCGAATCACTAAGAATTGTCACAACAATATTTTGTAAATCACCAAGCCAAAGTTAGAACATATGAGTATTAGCCGATTAACACAACTAGACAATCTATATTCGGTAGGTTAGAAAAGGAGGGGTGGTAATGAGATGAGAGTAAGTGTGTGCATCTATTTGTAATATAAAAAAGGCAGAGGAAAAGAAAAAGAGTAAAATATGAAGACATCATGGATAAGAGAAAACACGGCACTGCAGGATAAGGTCCCTTCACAGCCTTTTGCAAAAAGGGGAGGAGAATAAAAAAAAAGGATTTAGCTTTTCTTGGGTGCGCGTTCGGGCCTCCCTATTTCTGGTGAGAATGAATTCGCACTGGAATTGAAAATGCATGACTAATACCGCTACCGCTAGGCCCTCACTCACCCTGTTGCTGTTCATTACTCACAATCTCATGATAAACCTTCTTGGCGAGAATATCGCCCGTGAAATAGGTCTGTGTCCCTGAAGACACAAAATTTCCCATTGCCAGAGATGTTGGCAGGCAAGAGGAGATGCTAGGGATGTCTGACATGGTGTTCAAGTCGGAACTAGTATTATCATCACTCTGGTCACTTCCCATGATATCGCCACCTGCCGGTGGAGACTTTAGACCCTTTTTGTCACCGCGGACAACTTTCTCGCCATTCTGGATATCATCGATTTCGTCTTCGCTATCATCGAGACCTTCTGGTTCCTGCAAGACGAGAACCTTGTCAGTACTGCCGATATCAAGACGAACAATGTTGAACTCAGAATTGTCAAGGAGGCTCTCCAGTCCGGTTGAGATGGAGGAAGTGGGAGGTTTTAGTACAGTAGCATCCTGCACACCCGAATCAGAGTTGCCATCCGAGGAAGTGTTAGAGGCAATGGAAGAGGAGTGGTCGCATGGTTGGATTGTCATCGAAGACGTCAAACCTAGTTCCGAGAGTTGTGCAGCAAGGATGTCAGTCTCCTTCCATACCCGCGTCGCTCGCCACTTAGCTCGTGACTCTTTTGGAGCTAGAACTGCGTTGAAGCACAGTGTTTCCCCCACCTAAGTGTTCAAAATTGGATAGTGCAAACATAACATAACTCAGCAACATAGTACTGCCCAAACAAATCCCATTAATGTGTCACATAAAGAGCAAGCCTAAATATCGAATCTGAACAAAGCTAGAAACGACCTATCGCCACAAGTTACAATAAATTCGAAGTATTCTGAGAAGTAGATAAGCTAGGAAGCTGAGTGAAACCAAAATGGCTATAAACGATATGCTTTAGTAAAGAAAATAAAATGCTCAATTGAATAATGAAACTTTCCATAGTTAACCCTACACCATAAGTTTGTAGATCAGAGTGTTCAAAATGACATAGAACTGTACATAACGAGTTCAAAAATAACAAAGTTCTCATAAATCTGGTCTCATATTTTAATTGGTTGCATGAAGCTAATTACATTTGTAATTCTTCCTAAATGAAATAAAACAAGTGCAACATTTGATTCAAATTGACAATCAAACTAGTACCGCAATCGTTTTTGACGTTGGGAAAAAGAAACCTCACTTACTACAAAGTGCTTTGTTAAATTTTCGACATGCTTGAATAAAGATCGGTCGAAGAAAACGTGCTCATGTTGACCCAGATCGATAATGCCCCAGGATCTCGAGATGCAATAGGCTATGCCCTTCTTATTTATAAGCGAAATACTTCGGCTATTAGCATTCGTGGAGTCGGAGATAACAAAAGTAGTGCTCGCCTTATCCAGCACCTTATTCTTGCACATAACTTGATCTATTTCAAAGAGTTGGTTGAACTTCTCCAGGAATTCCGTTACCTCAATCTGGGTCTGCCCCACAGAACTGCGAATGTTGACAGGAGCAGACACAAACTCCTGCATCAGGTCCTCTAATAATACACCACAATCTTTGTTGCCGCCCAATTTTTCGATCACCTGACGCAACCACATGGCAGCTGCGTAATCAACAAGAGATATGAGGATGGTCTGAGAGGCGCTCATTTGTTCTGACATCTGAGAATGCTGCGGCAAGTTTTGAACTGAATGAGAGGAGTGAACAGTGATACTTGAATTCTCTGCCATTCCATTTACACCTTGAGTTGGAGGGTAGATGCCAGAAGAAACAAACATCGAGAGGGGCCGATTACGCCTGCTGCCACTTTGACGAATCTGAGTGGTCTGACGAGGAAGATAATTCAGCCTCACTTCATCTCGTAAGCTGACTAAATCGCCTTGCACTTCAAATATGCGTGGATGTCGCAAAAGAAAGTACAGAAAGTCAGACTGGGGCCCAACAACAGCCCGGATGTTGGCAGAGGCCTGAGAAAGGTGACCCGCAAGACTCTTGATTGGAACCCAAGGTTCGTTACGACGACTAATCTGCTTTTGAAAATATTTCACAGCTTCTGCCTCTGAAGCGAAATCTTGGGCATGAAAGAGCCGCGGAGGTGGTGGCAAGGGACTAACATGAACGTGCGTAAGAGGAAAAACAGGATTGAAATCAGTTGGAACAAAAGCGATTGGATCAACTGCCTGAGTATCTTTGAGAAAAATATAGTTATTCTGGACTCCAAACAGCATGGGTTGAGAGTGCACGAATGCCTCGAAGTCGTGAAAATTATCCCATGTATGTGGAAATTGCAAAAGGAAGTATTGCCAGACATCCTCGAAGGGAAGAGTGCCGTTGGCCTGCATAAGAATTTCCATTAGATACAAAGAATAGATCTCAGCCATGGTTGATCTATGTGGATATTCCGGTATAGTGCAGTACTCGCAAACGCGTAGCGGAAAGATACACAACCGCACCCAACCAAATTATCGCGATAGACGCCAATTTGATTGGTTGTGTTAAAAAGGCACCTGGTGGCCCATGCAAACAACTTCAGGTACGAACACGCAAAAAAATATTTATTCATAAAATATAAAAAGTACAATGATTTTTTGGCTTATAAACAAGTTATTTACATTTACAAACAAAAAATTTTTTACGTCATTTTTATTTATTACAATGTTGAGTAACTCACATAGATTCGGGTCCACTGTTTCACATGTTCTCTACTGTTATGCGTTCCCATAATACCCTGCAGTATTAAGCGAAACATCTCAGGGAACATACTGAGTGAACATACAAATATTTAACTCAAACCATAGACGTAACTGTAGCTTGATAAGACTTACTAAGTTTTAGAAGACGAAAGTCTACTTAGCTATAAAAAGGTGCATGCGACCCTCGAATCTGGTTGTCAGACCGAATGTAACTTCTGATCTAGTTGAAGCTGCCGAGAAGATCAGGTGCGGTTCCTCGCTCTCGTGTTTTCTGTCGGCTGACGCGGTTGGTTCGTGGGTGCTTTACTGCAGTACCGAATATGTTGTGATGTACCAAAGAGGAATGCCTAAGACGCCGCTCAAAAGAAAAGAGGGGCAGTGCAATACTTTGTTTGTGTTACAACCTGACGTTTGGTGGTCGCTTTAGAATCTGTCTGACTCCTGTACACGTGGGCAGGCCTTCGGGCCACGCTCAGACCCCATTTGCCCTGTCGTCTCCGGAATACATGTATTCAACCCCACTTATGCCCTCTTCCACTCTATGGGAAACTTCGGAACGCTACACAAGCCTTCTTTTACGCATTATTTTGGACTAAAATCATGCATTCTCAGAGGACAAAGGAGACTGGTCTTGGTCCAGCCCAAAGGATAATCCAAACGTACAGGAGTGACGCGAAAACATAAGTAACCGTTAGACATTAGGTAGTCTCATAAACAAGGTATTACATATATGCATAATAATGGGTGGAAACAAGGAAGCTTAGTCAATTAAGATAGGCTACAAGCGATGCCACTTCCTCTGCAGTTAGGAAAAGCTCCTTCAAATGCTTGCCGCTCGTACCGTCATTTGATAAGTCTTGATGTTTGGATGGGGTTTTAGTATTTATCTTACTCGCGTGTTCGTGGGGTAGCTTTCGCGTCGAATCAAAGCCCAATCCCTTCATCTTTTCATTCAGCGCATGCATGCA